AAAAAAAAAAAAAAAAAAAAAAAAAAAAAAAGATAAAATAAAAACTTTTAGCAAAATGATTAATAAAAGGCATTTGGCTAAAAGTCACAGATGTATCATCCGTAGTAATTTGTATGATACAAAACAATGTAGCAGTGAAAATGTATGAAGCAGAATTACTTTCGTTAACATGGATACAATTTAAAAATATGTTGTTAAAATTTAAATGTGAAAGGAAATGTGACATGATTTTTGCAAACAATTAAGACAATTGTAACTTTTTATGGATACACTTAGATGTAATAATAGTCAAAACATGCTTTGGAATTGAGTATGTCAATGTCAATCCAGTAACACAATCTCTATTATCTATTCTCAAAGGACAAAATTACAACGCATTTAGTTAAAGATTTCAACTGGCTTTATTTTCAGTTCTAGAATCAAATTGGGCAGTGCTTCTTTCCATAAAATAGAGAAGTTTTCCAGTGAGCTGAGCAGGGGAGGTTGGTTTTATAGACAGAGAAAGGCTGAAAGAAGCTGAAACAACGAACAAAAAGCTGATTGGTCATTTCAAAGTTATTTTCTTTGTAGAGTGGGAATAGGGAAACAGCNAACTATATTTGATTATTCATTCTATATTCTAGAAATCTTCAGTAATAATGATTATTAATAACAAATTCTTCAGAAATTGGGTAAGTTCAATATTTTAACTACCCTTAAAAGTCATTTAAAATGAATCCCCATGGTGCCTAAACTTAAAAGGGAAAACTTAAACAAAAAAGCAGAAAAATAAATACTTGAGCTGCTCCTACTTCTGCTTGGGGGTTGGCTTTCTGTGCCCACTTTGTGGCGGTTTTTGTGTCTTTGTGAGGCAAGAAATTTGAACTGAGATCTCTGCAAAAAAATTAGATACCTAAACATATGCTCAGTCACTGAAGGAATACACTAGGAGAAATATACACAGGGGCAACAAAATGAAAGGAAACTGATTTCTGCAGGGAATGTAGGCCAGGTCAATAAAACAGCTGCCTGCAAATGGAAATCTTGGGCTTTCAGTTAGCATAGGATTGTATACATACATTTGAAAATACACTTCTTCCTTAGGTTCTCTGGGCCAAGATATTAACATTATTGTTAATCGGTGCCTAGTAATACCTTGATGTATCTGGCAGAAGTAAATCCCAATCTCTTCTAGAAGGATATTCCCACGACATAGACAACAATAGATTCTGCAAGACAAAGCCCCACTTCAAAAGAGCTTACCTTCCCTCTCCCCCATTGAAGAAAAAAATTAATAATAGCATGGATTTTACAAACCAAACAAACAAGAACACCAATTTCTCAATTTCCACAGAGCATCATGAAGAGGACTAGGAGACTCCTGCACATTCAGGGGCCTATGCCATGGGAGAGGAATCCTTAGCAGAACCCAATTCTTTGTTATAGTGTGCAGTGAGCCTGCCAGACCTTTGCCCTAGAGGAAAACATTATCTTTATTACACTGGGCAGTAAACAAACCTTAGAAGCTTTTGTTTATTTATAAAGATTAATAAGTTAGAAACAGTTCCAGATACATTGACCAAGAAAACAAAGAGAGAAGGCACAAATAAATCATATATATTGAATAAAAAAAGGAGGATTTAATGTATTTTAATTGTTAGCTTCTTGCAAACAACTTTATACCAATACATCTGAAAAATTTGAAAAAATGCACCGATTTCTAGAAAAGTTATTTATGAAAATTGACTCAAGAAGAATTAGAAAATCTAGAGAGATTTACAACTATTAAGGCATTTAAACCAGTAGTTAAATGTCTGTTTTCCTCCAAACTTTTTTCCCTTCATGGAAAAAAAATAAATAAATAAAATAGGCATATAAGCTTTGCAGGTGAATTTTAACAGAGCATTAAAGAATTAATAATATCTAATTATTCAAGCTCTTTTGGAGAAAAGAAAAAAAAGGGAAAATTCCCCAATTATTTTTTGAGGCTACTATAACCTTGATAGTAAAACTGGGAAAAGACTAAGAATATGAATTTTTAAGTCAATCTCACTGAAGAATATAAATTCAGGTATGAAATAATAGCAAACTAAATCCAGTAACATATATACCAAAAGAAGTAACTCAAATGGCTTTATCTTAAAAATCCAATAGCTTAATGGATGCAGTAAAAAAAAAAAAAAAAAAAAAAAAAAAAAAAAAAAAAAAAAAAATTTTTAAAAAANCTGGTATTAAATTGTTTGACCAAGTTTGTGTTTGTTGTATATATCTACATTTTAAAATATTACACAATTAAAAATGAAATTAAAAAAGTATATTTTGATCCCTTGTATTACTATTTTTAAAAATGTGTGCCTTTGTTAAAAGTGGTCAATGATTACATCATGGGGCACAGTGCTTTATATGTAGTAAGTGCTCAGGAAGTAATCATTGCAATTTGCTGAATTAGACTCACCAGATTTATTGAGGTTATATGAGAGTTTTTAGTATTATCTGTCTGGATGTTGAAAAATATCTGCATAGCACAACAATTTTGATTTTGGCACAGTATAGCATTATTGCTGCTTAGATATTTTTTCAAGAAGGCAGTGATT